TCAGTCTCTTTTTGGATTCTGATACTGACTATGATATGGAAAGGAAAATTTAATCGGTCAATACTTTTGAGACTTCCACGAGTATTTTCCATACAGAAGCTATGCGTTTCGCGGATTATCTCTGTGTTCAGATTCATTATTTCAACATCAACATTTCGTAATTTACATTACAGTTCACTTCAATAGAGTGAGGAGCAACTTGATACTGAACTGCTCCTCCGAAGAATCTTCTTTATATATGCTATTTTAAACAATGTACTCTCTAAAACTTTTTAAGTGAATTGTCACTTTGAAGAGTGAAATTTCACTCTTAAAGATTGAAAATTGATCCACTCTTCCAAAATTGGTTCAATTTTCACTCTTGTGAAATTGCACTTCAAAGAATTTAGAGAGTAGATAAAGGGAAGCAATCTGTTTAAAACAGGACTGCATATATATATATACATATATATATATATACATATACGAGTACATATAAAAGAAACCTTTCGGAGAAACAACTCAGTATCAGGCTGCTTCTCGCCCTAATGAAACAAACTGCAAGGTTCACCAAACGTTGATATTTTAATAATGGATCCGGGAATAAAAATATATCGTAAAACGCATATATATATAGCTTCTAATTTAATCAGTTATTAAAGAGCAGAATCACGCTCTCCCTACGTGCAGCATTCACGTCGAATTTGCTTTACAGTACATTCAGCTACGAAAGAGCTGTAGACAAAAACGAACGTCTCGATTATCGAGTTTCTTTTCTGCGTAGTTATGAAATCGTGTCGTGTATCAAATGTACGGGAATGATTGATCATCACGCTGTGGAATGAGCACGTGATTCAGCTACAATGCAGTATAGGCGCGGTCGCCGTTGATACTCAGTCGCGAAGCGATGCGCCTCGAGGAAATTCTCAGTGGAGAAGCGAAAAAAAAGGTGAAAGGGCTTAGACGCGTGTCTGTCATGTTCGAAAGACCAATTAAAATCCAGTCGAGGAACCGGCGAAATAAATAGAACTGAATTTGTAAGAGTTTGGAAAAGATCTGAACAATAAGTTGCAACAAAAAAGAAAATTCAACTGCACATGGAATTATTATAGAATGGAATTATTATAGAATATGTAGTTATAAATTTTTCTAAATAGAGAAAAACAAATGTTTTAGCCAAGGTTTTAACTTGCTTGATATATTTTGCCTAATTTTCACGGTATAAATTGTAACTGTAAACGTAATTTTTTAAATAGAGAATAAAAAATCTTTTATTGAAGCTTTCGATAAATTTAAGCTTTTAAATTTCTCTTGATTTTTACAATTTAAATAATTTCTATTTGAAAAATTAACATATTAATTAGATTAACATATTAATGATTGTTTGATCATCTCATTAGTTTGTATGATTACACCCTTTTATATCAAGTTGTAGAAAGTATTATAACAAAATACAATTATATTTTTAGCTTCTATTCTCGAAATGTAATTATTTATACTCCATTTTACGTAACATCAGCGAATGATTAATCAATACTGATACTTTTAGAAGTTCATTAAACTTTTACTTATCACCGATTAATTATCTCGCCTAATGGACGAAGCAAATATTGATCTCGAAACCATATGATAATATTTGATCTGACAATTCTGGCCTGAAAAAATCACACGCGTTTCTTATCGGCCGCAGTAATATCGTACGTAATAGGATCGTATTAAGTATTGAGATATTGGAAGAGTCGATGCAGAGATTTATTGCTATTAGCTTCCTGCATAATATAAACGTATAAACGTGGAGCGTATTATATTGTACAAACTTGGATTAATAATAATTATAGGATAATGGAAATCATTGGCCGAAGCATTGTCTATAATGATATTTTCTATTATGCATACGTAATTTTCCATGTTTATGATAATATTTTAATGATATTTTAATCTTCTTCAATAAATGTATGTCAAGTATTAATTTTGTATGAAATTATACAGCACTTCCTTCTCTATCCTCCATTGCCTCTTCGCGATTTCCCGCATTGTTTCCAAAGGGTTACGGATAAAACGTTACCTCTATGAGATAATAAGGGCAGTGCATTCGCGTACACACGCGCGCACACACACACACACACACACACGCACGCACGCACGCACGCACGCACGCACGCACGCACGCACGCACGCACGCACGCACGCACGCACGCACGCACGCACGCACGCACGCACGCACGCACGGGAAAGAGAAGAGAAAGGAAAAGCAGACTACCGGCGGCGCCATGCTGTAACGCCTCCCTTTGTCCCTTTTTACCCACAACGACCGACGACCTCGCGAGATACCGCGATAGACGAGAACCCCAGAGAGAAAGGAGGATATACAGGAAAATTCTCGGATGTATAGGATGTATAGGATGTTTAAGGAGGAGAATATCGCATTGTTTAAGTCTGATGCTATCGCCCTCCTCCCCCCCCTCCCTCAGCGATATTGACCATTTCGCCTGGGACACCGTGTAGGTGGTCGATGCACCATACGCACGCATGCCACGCACGCTACGCACGCGAGGTTTGTTTACAAGGCGGTGCCTCTCGCTACCGGAGTTCCTTGACTCGGAATTGAAGTGAGACGGCAAGGCAGGCTTTTCCACCTTGCGTACAACGCGCGCCGCACGTCTCTACCTCTACGTCTGTTCCCTTCGTCGTCCTTGCTGGACTGCCGCCCCCGCTTACACTCCTTTCTCTCGATGTGCTTTACCCTTCGACCGTGTCGATTACCTCAATTCACCGCTGCCTCAACATTCTGGCCGCGCACCGGCCAGAGGACCGAAGCCGGGATCGCACACGACCGACGATGGCGTCGGCGCCGATACACCGATTCTCAGCCTCTCGCGTAACTCGTAAATCACGCAACCGCCGACGGTGGAAACGAATCGCCGGCAATTATCGTCTAGGTAATCGAAACGCGGTGGCGGCGGATGCGCCTCGTCATCACCTGCTAACCCTCTCGCCATGAATGCCGACGACCCTTTATCGAAACTTCCCTATCGAAATTCATCACGCGTATGTATATGTAGAAATATCATTCTAAATTGCTAAAAAAAAATAATTACTCCATTTACTTTCTTTCTTATAAGTAAAGATCTTATCTTTAACAAAGGATACCTTCTTGATAATAACTTAAAAATATTTGTTACAAATATTTTAGAAAAATTCATTATTATGTACTCGAAACAATTTATTTTTTTAAAAAGAATTTATTTTTTTATATGTAAGATATAGATTCCACTTTTGTAATAATTACTGCTGTAATGTTAGCGATAATATAATTATATTTATAGTTCTATATACAAAAGAAACACATATATATAAAAGATACAAAGTATGATTACGATTTGTAGTCGTTTATATATGAATATATATAATTATATTTATACATTGCTAGAATTATAGTAATATAATTATAAAAATGGACTTTCTAAAAATTATCATATAATTATAATAACAAATAACAACCAACCAACTATTCTCTCAGTATAGGAGACTCTATTTATGCCATAATACTCGTCGGTTTATTTGGATACAATTGGTGCTATGGATCGAAGCGATAAAGTGCAGACTTGCGTAAGAATCGATCGAGTGGCATGGAGCGATAAAGTTCGCTTTGAAGTTCATTGAAAACGCTCACTGCGTGGTTTTTGCGAACTTCATGTTTACGCTCCCATTGATAAAACTGACAGTGAGTCTAAATATGATGTATAAGATATCGGGAAAAGATTAACTCCCCCCCTCTCCCCCCCTTTCAAAAATTTTATCAGAAATTTTTTAGAAAGAAAATTACGTTAAATTATGTTTACTGTTCTTATGTTAAATTATAGATATTTATATGTGCTTTAATTATAATAAAACGCAGTAAAATATGAGCATTATTTTAGAATAATCTATTATCAGAATATACACATTTATAATGCAATAATATTTAAATATTCCAAGTTTGCATTCGTTAAAATATAAATTCGATGCGCAGTGCAAAACCTTAACACGATAATTATTTCCAATATCATTATTATTGTAAGATAGAAACAAAACGTGGCAGATTTAACACCGCCGTAGATAAATGCAAATGTTCATAATATAATGGAATATCACAAAACCGGATCGAGAAGAATACCTTATCTGATTGTCCAATCCATCTAACTAACACATGTACGAAGCAACTAATGACAGGAATGCTCTCCAATTACACTAACATCTCTTTACATAACGCTATTCTTCAATTTTATACATGGAAATCATGATTAATTGCTAATAATAATTGCTAGAAATTATATCCTAGTAATAATTCCCTAAGATTATTAATTTCTTCTCGAAGCGTCATTGACAAGAGCGAGTACCTAATTATCTACAAAGAAAATTATCACGTCAATTACTCCGTAATTCATCCTTCTGCATTATTAATCTCTAAGTAGATGAGGTTGCAACACTCAGATGTAGTTTTCTTTAAAACCTTGTATTAGAAAAAGAAAATAAAAAGCATCCAAATGTTCATTATTTTTACACTCCTCCGTCACAAAAAAATATAATGTAAATTTAACTATAAGATATATTGCACTATAAACATATAATTATATAAAACTAAAGATTTTTTGGGATGTTTCATCTAAAAAAAATTTATTTCATAATTATATGCTTTACAAGTATATTATATGTTATATGTGGTTAAAACTTACATTATATCTTTTTGTGTATTTTTACGTGACCAAAAAGGTTTGATCACAAAGATTTGAATGCTTATCAAATCATTATCCACGTAGTAAGTTAAACATTATTTGTCGTTAAAATAAAGGATTATTAATTGAATAGGGACAAAACTCTTTATGACCAAATTTTTTCATCACCCCTATTAAAGTACCTATCTATTTAAATTTTAAAGATTGATATAGCCGCACGCACAGCACGAATGATTACGCGACTTTTCGTTACGCGAACGTTACCTCGGAAAGTCGATCGATACGTTCACTAATTGTAAGACTCACCGATCACCGTGTTCGCCGCCACCTCCTTGGCGGCAGCCGCAGCTGCCGCCGGTCCATGCGCCAAAAAGTCACTCAGAGACAGAGACGACGCGATGATCTGTCGCTTCTCCTCGAAGTTCAGGTAATCCAAACTATTACTGCGCTGCGGCGCCGTCACGATCGTCACCGTTTTCGTCGTCGAGTGATGGTGATGATGATGATGATGGTGCTGCTGCTGCTGCTGATGATGATGCAAACTGCCGTCCACGCCGGTCTTGTCATTGCCGCCGTTGTCGTTGCCCGGGCTGGTGGGCACCAGGTAGACGCCGCTCACGCGTATGGACATCGCGTTTGGGGCCCGATCCTTGCACCGACCCCGTCTCTTTCGGCACCACGGGCTAAGGATCGCTACGAATGCCGGCAACGGAGCTACCGGGTGGTCCCTGTCAACGCGGCGCGCATCCCGGTGTCCACCTGCTCGTGGGATCGGCGGCTCGCGTCGTCGTCGTTCACCACTTCTCGTTCGCGGCTCCACGGCTCCGACGATGAGATTCGCGCGGCTCCCACGTGGCTCAAGCTCTTCTCCTCGCGCGATCCCCCGTGACGACGATGAATGATCCTCGAGATAACGAACCTCGAGATCACCCGATCGATCGAGAATTATCGATTATTCCCGAGCATGCGCTCATCTGAATATCGCGCTCTCCGCGCGGAGCGCGACAAAGAGATACAATATTTATTCCGAGAGATCTTTCAGCCTCCACTTGTAAACTTGTGCGTTGAGTTGGAGCGTGATCTCTCTCGAGCTTCGTTTAACCGCGTGGTTGTTGTTATTATTATATATATCGAACGAATGACGCACTCGTTATCGCCAGCTCGGCCAGCCTTGATTACAGACGTCGAGTCAATTATCTTCTTCCACCGTCTTCTTCCAGACAAAGAGATTTCTATTCTTGGTGCGAAAAGCGACTTTATTCTTATCGAGATTATGGCACAGGATCCAGAGTAGAGAGAGAGAGAGAGAGAGAGGCGGACGTACGAAAAGTCGTTTAAATCGAAACTGGCTTCATGGAGAATCGTTGGCTATTTACAAAGGAATTTCACACACGATTGGCACGTACCATGGAAAATAACTCGCACGGAGAACCGTGAGAGTGACTGACGACGTTGATGACTGGAGGAGAGGATGCGCATCCCTGTGCATTAACGAATGAGGAAAAGTTAAGCCACTGCCCCGGCCCCGTCATGAATAGCACGCATTGTGTCCGCTCGCGAGCAACCGATGATTATACAACAAGCGACGAGTTAGATCTTTTTTTTTTTAAAACATGCCGATTGTAACGTTCAAAGATCAACTTTTTATACAGATTAAATTTTGACTTTGTCCAAATAAATAATGCCACGAAAATGCCATAATTATTAACTCTGCATTACTCACCTTCGGTTTTTTTCACCTTCTAATTAATTACATCTTAATTTTTACTATTCTCTTTAACAATTTATAATTAAATAAAAATTTATAATATTCTAAATCTAATAATATATTCTATTCTTCACACGCGGAAAGAGTAATTTTGCTGATGTATTTGAAAATTTAGCTAAATGAGGAGAGATCTAAAAATAATTTTAATGACCAGACCAAAATAATTGTATATAAGACACTCAAGCTTGATGATAATATTGCAAAAAGTTTGGACGTTCTAACAACCTGTTTAAATGTCTTATCAATATAATTATTTTTTGATGGGCCAGCAAAATTATTTTCGGATTTGTATCCATTTTTGTAAATAAACAAACTTATCCTTTCCATGCAGATAATATTCTATCCTTCGGATAAAAGAAAGATAAGTGTAAAATTTTTATAACGCTGGAGTATTCTGATGCCCAAGTTAGCAAGTAATGAAGAGTTAATCGGCGCGCGCGCGCGC